AAATGAAAAAAAAATTCTATTTATAAGTACTTTGAAATCGCCCTACTATGAAAAGATGATAGGAAACATGACTAAGAATTTTGCTAAATAGTGATCTCGAGTGAAATCATTGAAAATGCCATAAAAAATGGTAAACTTGAAATAAGAGAATTCAATAGCCAAAAAAATGCCCAAGAAGAAGGAAAGTGGAATTCAAGCTGTGAGTTTCAAAAGATAGCCATTCAAAAAGTACTTTCCTTACCTTTAATCTATCTATCCTACATCTAATCCTACCATAAACAATGTTTTAGCTTTTCCATACCAACCAGCTCTACGACCTTATTATCCACTCATCTATCAACCAATATTTAGACCACTTGCCTATACATACAACCTAAATACCTCAATTGCTACAAGACATTCTATTTGCCCAGCTAACCTAACAAGTGATACATGAGAACCACAGAATAATCAAGAAAAGCCAACCTTTGACCCCATTCCTATAACTTATATAGAATTGTACCAAAAACTTTATAAAAATCATTTGGTTGCCTCTATCCCTACAAAACTACTTGAACCTCCTTATCCCAAGTGGTATGATTCTATTGCTCATTACGACTATTATTATGAAATAGCTGGCCACTCCATTGAAAATTACACCTCTTTAAAGCACAAAGTGCAAAATTTGATCAAGGAAATATTGATTAATTTTGATACTAGTGGAAAGGTAACACCTAATGTTAATGGTATCCATTGCTAAATCATGCAGTAAATGCTTTGAATGAAGATAAAGGATGCATAAAGAGAAGAGTGGAGGAGATCAAGATGCCATTCAGTTAGTTGTATAATGCTCTAGATAAGGCTAGAATGGTACGACCAGTAGACCCATGTACCTATCGTGAGAGATGCATCTTGAATCAAAAGTGCAAGTACTGTAGTAGGGTTCCGAGTCATTTTATTGAAATGAGTAAATAATTTCATGATAAGGTACAACATCTAATCGATTCATACTAGATCGAATTGTATAAGAAAGCAAAAGCCTCAAAAAATGCTGAAATGGCTATAATTGATAAGTTAAGGTGGGTGCCAAAACTAGTAACAATTTATTATGGTGAAAAACCTAAATCAATCATAGATAAGCTCATCCTTAAGGTAGCAACTCTTAAGGTCCCGAGTCCATTCCTTTATAAAGATAAGACGATTGTACCATAGAGGTATGAGTGCAACATGAGAGTTCAGGGGCAATAAGAAACCATACCCAAATAAGACACCACCAATATAATTGGTGCAGGTAATATAACAAAAGTGAAAGGTATTATACTCCGGAGATGCTAAAAAAGGTAAGAAAAGATAAGGCACAGCAAGTATTATGTGGTTGAATAGTTAGATAAGATGCTAGCTAGAATTTCGTTGTTGTCATTGCTATTAAATTCAAAACCACACCATAATGCCTTGTTAAGAATGTTAAATCAGGCTTATGTGACACAAAATGTTTCTGTGGAATATGTGAATCATCTGGTGGAAAACTTGATGTACCATACTATATAGCCTTTAGTGATGAGAAGATCCCACCTGAAGGTAGAGAAAGTACAAAAGCATTATTTATTACTATTAAATACAAAAGTCATATTACAAGGTCTTTATTAACAAGGTTCAGCTATTAATGTTATGCCCATATTTACCCTGGCAAGATTGTCCATTGATATGTTCCATATAAAAAATAGTCATATAGCGGTTTGAGTATTTGATGAAACTAGGCGTAAGGTGTTGGGAAATATTGAAATGCCTATGCATATCGAACCTTGCATCTTCAATGTAAAATTTTAGGTCATGGACATTTTTCCATCCTACAGTTCTTTGTTAGGTAGGCCATAGACCCATATGGTAGGTGTTGTCTTTTCTTCCTTACATCAAAAGGTCAAATTCAATGTAGAAAATCAACTTGTGATCATGGTCGAAGAAGAAGATTTGCTAGTAACTCAGCCTATGAATGCTCTAGATGCAGAAGCAATAGAAGAATCATTAAAGTGTTCTTATCGATCTTTTAAACTTGTCAATACTGTAGGTGAGGGGTCTAAGTCATACCAACTATATTATTCTACGATCATGGCTAGTCAAATGGTTAATAAAGGTTAATACCCTAAAGTTGGCCTAGGCAACAATCTACAAAGGATAAAGGAGCCACCAATGATAATAGATAATAGCGAAAAATTAGGCTTGGGGAATGAAGCTGAGGAATGGGAGATAGAAAGGATATCGAATAATAAAAGAGGAAGAAAGACAACAAGAAACATGCCAATATTTATCTTGCACCTACATGAAACACTTAGGCTACGAGGATATATGTATCTAGGGACAAAAGAAGATGCTAAAAAAGAATTGCGCATGGAAAAAGCTTTCGTCGAGTTGTCTATCCAAATGACAAGCAAAAAAGTCCAAAAAAAAAAAAAAGAAGTATTGATTCATCCATGCTCACTAGGCTTTGAATTAAAGAATTGAAAAGTCATCCAGATGCTTGTTATCTTTGATATCTTCCTAATGTAATTACAATTGCCAATTACTTATGCCCAAAAACATTGGGATGGTCTTTTATGTATGGGCCTCTTATTATCTATTATCTCAATAAAAAAAATAGGACTATGTATTTTATTCATTTCTTCTAGTCAATCTACATTTTCTTTCCAATCAATGCATTCTGTCAATACTTCTTATTTGATTTAATTTCAGGTCTTTAAATGAATATAAAGATAATCACAATAAAAATTAGGGATTTAATTTTGAAAATTCAATTAATGCTTACAAACTTAACACTGAAGAGTAAATCTAGACCTTTAAACCAAACAAGATGACTTTAAGGCATGATATCACTTTTCTTAAAGCTTATTTTGCTAGTTATAACATTTAAAAAGGGTTGAACCGAAATGCCTCTAAGATATAATGAAACCTTGTTTATATTTGACACTAATACAACTAACAACTAAACACACCTTAGTAAGAGTGGAAATGCCTTATCTTGGCAAGGTTTTCCGTAATAAACAATGTTAAAACAACTTCCTTTCGATTGAGAAAAGAATGAGAGAAAGATGAGAGTAATTCTGAATTGAATTGGATTATCAAATGAACTCACATCAATCTCTATTTATGGAGATTTAATCTAAGGATGTGACTTTTATATTGTGTTGTTTCAATTAAGATCACTTCCCTTTGATTATAAATGTCTTTTTGAAAAATTACTGACATATCAATTCATTTGAATAATCAAACTTTTATACAAAGAGAAACACTTTTCATTTTTTTTAGAAATTGCAACTTTTCATGCAGAGCAGTCAATTTTCTCAAAAAGGTAGTCGATTGCATATTTTTATTTTCAATTTCTAGAATACTTTTAGAAGTAGCGTAGTCAACTCTTCTATAGAGTAGTTGACTCTTTTCACATGTTTGAATGAATCTTTTGTGTGAGCAGTTGACATAGCAGTCGACTCCTTTCAAACAAAAACATTTCCACATTCAACATTCTATAGAGCAGTTGACTCCTCTTTTATAGCAATCGACTGCTATGACTTTTGCCAATTTCCAGAAGATTGTATCATTGGCAATCGATTCCATTAGGCTTAGGAACCGTCACACTTTTCCCAACTATAGCAATAGATTTCTTTAGGTAGCAGTCGATCGCAGTTTACATAGAAACTTTGTTTTAGTTTCTGTTTAGCAAAGCATTCGACTCCATGCTTTGGCGGTCGATTGCTCTTCCAAGAAATATATAAGGTAGTTGACTTCTACCAATATGGCAGTCAACTGCTTCTATATGCAGTCTTCTAATATTACTTTTTCAAGTTTATAATCATGCCTATTGACCATAGGAACTTTATCTTAAACTTATATCATAGCTTAATATGATTTTTGCTTTGATTAGGTTCACTTAATCATATTTTCATTATTTTAAAAATATTTTCTAACAAGTACACATCTTAACTCGTATAATTTCTTCATTAAAATAGAAAGTTCGGGGTTGAAAGTGATATGATATTTTCTGTGGACTATTCAAGTAATTTGAAGTTTGTAATGGAGCACAATTTCAAGTTAGAGTCGCGTAATCTAAAGGCAAAATGTAGGAGGAATGAAAGATGTTTTATCTAGGATAAAGACCTACCCTTTACATATACACTTATATCCAAGGAACAAAGCAACCTCAAATTACAGTTTCAATTATAATTATTTCTATATTTTGTTGCTATATCGATGGCTTTCACTAGTTTTTAGAGTAGTGGGGCTCAAGTCCTAGCTGTGACTAAAAATATTTTGAAATCATGTGTGTTTTAGATAAAGCTCAAATAGTTTTTATTAATCTAGTTTATTTATTGTTGAAATTATAATATTGATTTTACCAGTTGTCATTGACATAGTAGAGAGAGTATTTTCAATAATAAATATTTTGAAAACACTTTTGTGTAATCGAATAGAAAATTAATGAATGAATAATAGCTTAGTTGTGTACATTGAAAAAAAAATTGTTTAAAACTACATTGATAACAAAGTTATTGTATAATGTTTTTAAAATATGAAACCATGTCAAAGACAATTGTAAAATTATTATGGTTGGATATGGAAATTTTAGTTTATGTTGTATTATTATGTTGTTTTTTTATAATTTAATATATTTGAATTAATCTCCTACTAAATAAAATTCTGACTCCACCAATTTCAAGCTGATGAATGAAAACTTAATTTATTCGTAAATATAGTAGATTCTACATAACCACTCATTGAAAAGAAAACTAACAAATTACAAACAATGATGAATTTGATCATTACATAGTGATTATCAAGCAATCAGAAATGAGGCTTAAACGCTAGTAGTTCAAAATACGGGGCTCGAAATACAATCCCTTCGGTTTTACTTAATATGAAAGATGAAAAGAGGTAAGAATGAAAAATCTATTAATTTAATGGTTAAAATTTATAATTATTTTTCTATTTGTAACTTAACCATTAAATTAATAAAATTTTCATTCTAACCCATTTTCATCCTTCCTACCACCTTATTAAACATAGTAGTCAACAACAATTAAAATTTAAAAGTCTTATATCATAATCCAAACCAATATGTAAATGTGGCTTGAGTTCAGGCTCAAGGGCACTTGGGCTTATTTCCATGGGTTTTGAGTTTTGCATAGCAAGGACAGGCACTCTTGTGGCCATAGGTACCCGGTGGAACGCAGTGGCATCTTTTGCAGCAAGTCGTGCATGCTCTGTGGCAAACATTCTTTCTTGATGCCTTCCTGCATCTCCTGGAGCATGCATATTTGCAATCTGAAATTTACCAAAAAGAAAACAAATCCAAGTTCTTGGTCAGAGAAATAAGTAAGCTTAGATACATTGAATTACAGAAAAAAGTACTTACTGATTTTCTTGTGATACTTTTTATTAAGAGCTACCATGTCACTTCCTTCATCCACCTGAAGCCAAAACAAATATAAAATTACAAAATGGGTACCCACAGTTAATACAGTTGAAATAGATACTCACATTTGCCAGAGAATTTGCATTATTGCTAAATGCAGAAGCTTGCACCAAAGCCTGAAAGAAAAGAAATAGATTCAGTCAGTAAATTCAAGAAGAAGACGTTTAACCCATTATCAGTAGTTCAGTGCAATATGTACCTGTAGGAGGAGGATGGAAACTACAAGAACCAAGAACAGCTTCATTGTGTTTGTTTTTCGGTGGCTGCCGGCTATGATAAAATGATAAGGTTATTGATGAAATGCAGAGAGAAGGGTTAGATTTAAATGCAGATTTTTTGTTGGGTTTTGGTTTTGTCATTATCTTTAAAGAGTCACGTGTAGAGATTACTGGGAAATCACAGGAATTGAGTTGGGTGAACTGGAAAATGTATTGAGCAAAAATACTTGTGCCTTTTTTTGGAAGCTTCTACTGCTGGTGCAATTGCAAACACAGCTGTTTGATTTTTTGGCTGGTGCGTGTATATAAGGACAAAGGAAAGAGAGTGTAAGAGTAAAGAGTGAAGGCATGGCAAAGATGGAAGCTAGCTATATCTGCATAATTTCCCTGCCCTAGGTCGTCTTCACACGATTTTATTTCCTTTTATTGGTCAAATTCATTCATTTCTTGAATGCATGGATCGAGAAATAATCGCTAAACATGTGAAAAAGTCTTAAAATTTATCAAAGAACAAAGATACTCTAATTTATACTAGCCCTCCGTCTCACTAGCTAAATGGAAATGATCAATTAAATACTATTTTTTTGGCTAATTCTGGATTCAGGATTTAATGTTTAAATCTAAAAATATAATGTTTAATTTGAATCAAATTAAAATCAAACATTCTCCATTTTGCTCAAGTAAAAAATATTTTCAACAGAATGATAAAGTGTAAATCATGAACTGTTAACTTTTTTTTTAATGGTGGTGGCTAGAAAAAATATAAACATATTATTTTTTAAATAAAAAATTATTTTTTTCTCTCATTTTTTTCTCCCTTTCTCTCTCTACTTCTTTACTCACTCTCTTTAATTCTTAATATTCCACCGGAGTCACCTTGAGAAATCTAGAATCTAGAGTTGAACAGCCATCTGCCACCTCCGACCTCAAAACTCAAGCGCCTCCCATACCACAATTGGCAACTCCCATTCACCAGCACTCAAACACTATCTAGACTCCACTACAAGCTCTCGATCCAACACTTTTGGCAATCCCCGCTCAAAGGACATTGTTACCACCTATTTCCCATCTAGTTACATTATACTAAAATGCAATCGAAGAAATACCCCCAAGACTCACATCTAATAATACCTAAATTTCAACTTACCAATTGATCACAATTTTTCCAGAAAACAAAAACCTTGCAAGAAAACACCAAAAAAAAAAGGAAAAAAAAATAGTCAGTCCAAAACGTCTAATAATACCTAAATTTCAACTTGCCATTTGACGACAAATATTCCAAAAAAAAAAAAGAAATAGTCAAAGTCCAAGAAAGCCAATGATCCCGCTTCTTAAAAAATATTGGTAAAATATATCAGAGCTTAAGAACGGGAGAGCCAATATGTTCACCTATTAAGAACTTGACAGGGTCCTAGGCGGGTTCAAAGCGGAATATGTGGTTGGAAAGGGAAGTTTCTCGTGCAGGCATTTAGTTCACAGATTTTTAAATTTAAAGAGAAAAGACGAATTTTGGAAAAGTGATATTAAAGGGCATGAATGACTTTTAAGGTCTGTTAATCTTAAATATGATTTTTATATTTGATTAAAATAATATCAGATTATTTAATAAAATTTTTTATTATATATTTTCGATAATATATGGATAATATAAAAAAATAAAAATAATTTATTTATTTAACATTTTATTAAAATTTTCAAAAAATTCATAAATAAACTTCGAAATATTTAACCTTATGTCAAACTTCGAGCAATACAGGAATGGGCTTTCCTTACATGCTAATCTGTTTATTCATATTGTCCTAAAAACATATTACCTATGGTTTTATAAAAATTAAAAAAAAAAAAAAGGACTACGTCCCACCCTTGCAATTAATCGTCCCATAGTAACACCCTTCCAACTTCCAACCTTTTTCCGTCTCCAGCTAAACTTTTTTTGTCTTTATGTCTTTTACCACGTGGGAGCTTTGCATCATATGTTCCCATCTCTTGTATGTCATTAATCTAGACGAAGATTTGTTGGTAAGAAACGTAGTTAATATTTAAAAAAATTGACTTTTTCAATAAAACGTCATTCTTTCTCAAAAAAAAAAAACTAATTTGTTTTGCAGAAATAAATTTTTTAATTTAAAATTTTATCATAATACAATTTTATAAAATCACATTTTTAATTTAAAAAACATTATTTTTGTTAAAATTATAAATTTTTAAAAATAAAAGTTTTCTTAATATATTTTAAATAAAAATCACGTTTTTTAGATTAAAAACGTTATTTTTAAAAAGAAAAGCGTGATCTATACTCTAAACATTTGACAATGTTAAAGTCACTTTCAATACACCATAAATCATAAGGGCAAAGCGAGTTTTTAAGATTAATCAGCTCGCCTTATAATGTGTTTCTCTCCGCTAGGTCATTATGGGGGCTTATATGTTAATGAAGATACAAGGAATATTTAAAGCATTGATAGTACCTTTTAGAAGGATGAATCTTTGTTTGACCATGGAGTTTTTTAGGGTGAAAAATTGTTCTAACCATAGGGAAATCAAGCCACCAGATCTACTGTGTCAGCCTACCCATTCACCAGTGTATCTACTCCATAGATATTTCAACATCCTAGAATCAATTGTGCTAATTTTTGTTTCTTGTAGAAAGATCATAGTCAAGTTTTGTTTGGAAACTAATTTCTTCACAGCCTATTTTTTTATTCTACTTCCCAAGGCCCTAAATTTCAAGAGATAATATTAAACATTGTGAAAAGAGAACACCCATACCTAGAACCGTATGGCTAGGAAGAATTTAACCCAACCATGGGCCTCCCGCGTCTCTCTCATTATCTAGAAGCTCCAGCTGCTGTAGGTGTCATGCCCTGGGCGGGCGCACCAGCCAGGCGAGCCAGAGGTTGAGACCCGTAGACCAAGCACGCTGGCAAGTATTTGTACGCAAGGCCTAGGAGACGAGGTCAGAATGCCTGCCCAGCTTGCAGGCCAGCCCGTGAGGCCAAAGCCTGGCATGTAAGCTGCTCGCACCACATCCAGAAGGGCCCAAGGTGCTGGACATGCAAGGGAAGCTTCTGGAAGCATGCAGGATCAGCAGAAACATCCTGACAGATTTGGTTGACCCTAGAAATCAGGAGTTACAATCCTGATTGATTGTAATCTGTATAATCCCATGATTTTAGCCTTTATTCTAGGGATATTGCCATTAAGTGTAGCTAGAGCCTCAACTATAAATAGAGGGTTGCTCCACCCTCATTTGTATACAATTAAACACTTCTGTTTCAATGAATATACAGCATATTCCAACATTCTGCCTTGTTATCCTATTTCTCTTTAACTTGCGTAATCAACTCTTTCCATTATTCTAGTGCCTGTACGCTTGTGTTTTAGGCTGACTTAGGCATTAAGGAGGAGATTCCAAGCCTAAGGCCGTACGGTTTCTGAGTCTAAGGTCGGAGCCCGTGACATAGGCACTTGACTACTTTAGCTTTGTCTGAATAAACTCCAAGCCTAGAAGAGAATAAACCTCTCAAGTTTTCTCTGTGTCACACCTAGTTGCTTCATTTTTGCACCCAATCCTTCGTTAGATACTGATATTTCATCATCCTGAAGCTCCATGTTGCGAGCACCAAATATTAGTTTTGCTAGCTCCCTTTTTTCCCTTCATAACTTTCTTCTCTATCTAACAACAGATGGGGCTCTTGTTCTACAAGGAAGAATTTCATGATTTGTAGCTTCTTACTTTTAGGCCCTAGGTTTCTTAGGTTTTATTGTTGTTGAAACAAGTTTTTTAAGCCCAAGGGAAGAGTTAAATGATGTCTGCTTCTCACAATATTTTTTTGGCAATGCCAGGACTCTTGCTTCATTTGTAGCCTTTCCAGCGGCTATTACACTATCCAATTTAGACCATTGCACTTGGGGACTACTAGTTGGATCATTGATGGCATATGTACTGGGAATAGGACTACCCTCCATAAATGGTGAATGTAACACTAGAGAGGAAATCGATGATGAAGGCGTCGACTCTACATCCGATGATATCCTTGATCTTTGAGTTTTCATGTCTGAGCTCATGTTAGGGAAGTTGTAAACAGGTTCCTTTACGACGGAGATATTAAAACCTTCATCGTTAGCCTTGAAACAAATTGAAGGGGGATGATTGTATCACTTTTGCTCGAAACTAGGATTTTGGCAATGTCAAACTTGTTTTTTAAGTGGGTACTATTGTCTATGGTGATGAATGATCCCCATAGTTTACCGACCTCTATGAAAAACTTGCTATCCCATAAATGAAAGGGTTCTCCTTCTAATCTTAACGATGTGAAGAGCTCTCTATTGACATCGTAAATGCCCTATGGATGGACCTTCTCAAACCTTACGTTAAACCAAGAATTGTGCTCCTTCAAGCAAGCTCCCATATCATCTTTTTCACATAATGTTAACAAGACACATTTCTCGTCCATCGGTCAAACTTGGAAGTAGAACCCTTCATTAAAAAGCAAACTTTTTAGTGAAGAATGGTGGACATAATCAAATAGGACGCCAGTTGCACTCTTCTAAAGCCATTCAAAGTCCTCGTGTTCTATTTCAATGTCAAAGCTCAATGGAGGGTTTGGGTAGTTTTAAAAATGACTTCATGCATAGAGTTGCTTTTTATTTTCTTTGTTAGATTTTCATCTTACTGAGCAGGTTGAGCTTGCATGGAACCAGCCAAAACTTCCTTGTAAGAACGATTACCTCTGTCTTTAATAATACCATTTTGCCCATTTTGCTCTTTGACAATTATACCGACTTGAAGCCTTTTAGAGGTTGATTTTTTCGAGTCTAAACAAAATAAAGATATAGTGCACCTTTGGCCTCATCCGAACAGTGCTTTTTTGACAATGATGAAATAACCTTCAATCTTTCTGCCATTCCCTTGATTAATGGCTTTATGAAACTCTCTTTCCTCTTTGTAACGAATAAAAGCTTACATGAGGCGATGGTGGTTTGCATGTTTGAAAGGTATGAACACATCTCTAACTCTCCCGTATACCTCAAAGGATTCCCAAAGTGCATCTCTAGACACCCTTCTGCAGAGATTACCAATAAAGTCAGTGTGAAATGAAGATCTCCAGTCATTTATGTTTCTATGTTGCTGGTGCAGGTTGCCAGGATTCCTAGCATTTTCTTCCATCCTCTTCCTTCCTCCTCAATAGTAGCTTTTGTTGGAATGAAGGCCCTAAGAGACATTTTCACAAACACTTTACATGTAAACTCCATAAAGCCTCTCGAAACATAATAACCTAAGCTTCAATGAACCAC